CTGGAAGGTGCGTTAGTCACTTCTAAGCGCATGTCATCGCCAGGTCCTGATGGTATTACTTATAGTGCGTTGGGACACCTTGGACAAAAAGCCAGAAAAGAACTTTTAACATGCTTCAACAACTCCTGGCTCAGCGGCAGTGTTCCCCGAGAATGGAAAATAAGTCGATTAATACCGCTTTTGAAATCGGGAAATCACCATTGGACTTGACAGCGTATCGTCCTATTGCCCTCGCAAGCTGCCTCGGAAAAGTAATGGAAAGAGTGGTTCTATTTCGCCTCGAATGGTACTTGGAACGATACACCAAATACCCTTCTTGCATGGCAAGCTTTCGTTGGGGCCGCTCCTCCATCGACTGTTTCCTTGACTTATCGAAATTTGTGCAACAAGAAAAAAGTTGCAAGCGCATATCAGTGGCACTCTTTTTTGACGTGAAAGGTGCATATGATAATGTAGCTCACGATGCCATCCTCACTTGTCTCACAGCAATGGGCATTGGTGCACGAATGTTTCAATGGATAAAAGATTATATAACTGGTAGGGGTTTCTTTGTGCAAACATATGAGGGTACAACTTCTCAACATTACACCTACTGCGGAGTACCTCAGGGAGGTGTTTTAAGCCCCACATTGTTCAATGTTGCCCTCATTGGTCTGGTGAAGGTTCTGCCAAAGTCGGTGTGCCTATCCATATACGCCGATGATATTTGCCTCTGGAGTGCTGCAGTTACTCGTTCTCAGGTGCGTGCACGAATACAGCGGGCAGCAACCATCACAACAGCCTACCTTCAGAAGCAAGGCCTAACTATATCAACTGTGAAGTGCCCGTTGATGGCGTTTACACGCAAACCACTGACGCCATACCCTGTTTACATCAATGGGCAGAGTGTCAAATATGCACGGGCGCATCTTTTTCTGGGCATAATAATCGACAGAAGTCTTTCGTGGAGCCCACATTGTGCGTACTTAAAGAAGAGACTGCTATCTATTGCGCATATAATGAAATTCATGTGCGGGAAAGCAAGGGGAACTTCTGTGGCCTCCATGCTACAGCTGTACAGGGCCCTATTTCTGGGTCTATTGTGCTACAGCTTGCCGGTACTGACTAACACTTGCAAATCCAATACTCATTCATTGGAGGGTTTGCAGGGTCAGGCACTGCGTATCTGCCTAGGACTGCCCCGATGCGCTTCTACTTATGCCACGATTATGCTTGCCAAAGACCATCCGGTCAGGACATATAGAGTTGTGGATTGCCTCAGAGTGCACATTCGACATGCTAGCCGTGTCCCCGACCACCACTTGGCCCTTCTACTCTCCGAAAGACCACGTGCTACGTTTTCAGACGTCATATTCAAGCACCTAAACAGCATTCCATCAGGATATACGCCAGCTGCGAGAATGGCATGTCCTTTGTGGTGCCTCGACCAGCCGCAAGTACGCCTAGAAACTCCGGGAAACAAAAAGAAAAGCAATCACTCCAGAGTAGCATTGAAGCAAGCAACACTGCTATTATTACATGAGTTGTACTTAGACCGAACGCAGATATACATTGATGGGCCCGTCTCGTCCAGCAGCTCATCAGGTGCCGCTGTAATTCCGGCTGCAGCAATGACAATCAAGTTTAAGTTGTGGCATATGACTACATCTACGGCATCAGAGCTTGCTGCTAAAAGGGCTGCTTTACAATATCTCGTTCAAGAACGTCCAGGAAAATGGGTCATATTCTGTGATTCGAAGGCAGGGCTTCAGAGTTTGCAGTCTGCCATGCGTAGGAGGAGTCATGACCAATTGGTACAAAAAATAAGACATTGTCATCATGAAGCTCTAGCACGAGAGCATGATATTATATATCAATGGCTGCCTGGACATATCGGTAATACCGGAAATCAATTAGCCAATGATGCAGCCCGCTCAGCGCATGAAGGAACCCATGTAGTCCCGATTTCTCTATGAAGGAATGATGCAGCAAGACATCTTTACCTGCTGGCTCGAGATCTCACACGCACGTTCTGGTCGTCTACCAGCTTCCAAAGGTGTCAATTTTATGAACTGGATCCTTCGCTCAAGCTTAAGCTACCATCACAACTTTCCCGCTCCGATGCGACACTGTTATGCCGCCTTTGGTTGGGTGTTGCATTTACAAAGGTGTACTCCTTTTGCATTGGTATGGCAGACACTCCTACATGCGACTACTGCGGAGCTGAAGAGACCATCGAACACGTCCTGTGCAGCTGCGCTTGCTACGACACACAGCGATGCCAGCTCCGGATGGTTTTGAATCAACCTGACCCCGGACCATTTTGTGTGCAGAAGATACTAGAACCTTGGGCATCTGCCTCAGTTGCGCAGAAAGCAACTAAAGCACTGCTACTTTACCTAAAGTCAACAAACCTGAGCGACCGCCTGTAGACTGTGTGTGCTCCCCGAGTGTGCTCGTGATTGTGTGTACCTTCTCATCTCTCTGCAACCTCTTTTCTCCCATTTATCCCTTCCCCAGTGCAGGGTAGCAAACCGGATGTGCGTCTGGTTAATCTCCCTGCCTTTCCTTGCCCCTTTATCTCTCTCTCTTTCTCTCTCTCTCTATGTCATCAAGAAGTGACTTCCGTATACCTTCAAAGTTCAAATGCCTTTTGCCAATCTCAGGGATAACGGCGGTACTACGGTCTACAGGTCATGGGGAAGCGACTATGATAGTCAAATGCGAAAAGGGTGAATACATATATAGAACTTTAAAAAGTACGGCCTATCATGAAAACTACGGAAGCTCGCATGGTCCTTCATAAATTTGCATAAGACGACTGGAAGTCGAAAGTCAGCTTATTCTTATTGATTGATCTCCCTTCCCGAAAACTTTCTGCCCCTACCAAGCACTGCACTGCTTCCGAGATTGGAGGCATTCAAAGCTTTCTCTACATGGTTTTATTTCAGGGCCTCCGCGATTGGCTGACCGTTGACCTAGCGACGATGCAAAACTTCTAGCGGGCTTAGCGTGAACGAATTCATCTTTCAGCCACTTTGTGCGAGACAAACAAGGACGATGTAAGAAACACACACGGACGAGTGCTCGTCCGTGTGTGCACCTTACTTCGTCCGCGTGTGCTCCTCACTGTATGTGGCTAAAATTTGAACTAGCGACGATGTCACGTGATGACGTCATATTGTGACGTCCCTTTATTTGTCCATAGTGACATCATGGTGTCACAAACGTTCGTAACATATAACGTCATGTGACGTCATTTGTGTCGTAGTCGCATGATTTCTTTAATCGCTCACGTTGACGCCGATGACTAGTTTTCACGTTCCATGAAGCACGATTTAAAATTGTTTATGTAGGCTTTGCACAAAGCAAATCTGCATGTGTATTTTCGAACCAAGAAGTATTATGCTCAGAGGCAGACTTTGAAAAAAAAAATGAAGCATGATGAAGCATCTAATGCTTTCACCTTTGTAGTAGGGACGTGCGAGTGTTTGAAAATTTCGAATAACAAATCGGTCATCGTTCTATTGAATTCCGTATTCGAATCAAATTGCACGTGTTCATAAAATGAAATACCTTTCAAATAATTTTAGAATCTTAAGCACCGACGAGGAAACCTCTAAGGGAGAATACGTTGAAAGAGTGAAGGGTCATCTGTTCCTGTTTTTTGTGCTGTATAACAACTGAAGGGAGATACTACGGCTGACCTCCGCTTCAAAAGCGTAATTCTGCACACCTTTACATGAATAACTACAGTACAAGTTGTTGTGTCATTGTAAATTGATCTTGCCAGTACCAACGTTACTAGAACCAGTTGGCCAGTAGAGTATTCAGCATTGATAATTAGCTGCTTTTTGTGCAAAGGCACATGTTGTGATATCTTATTTAGATATTTACCTACACGTGTGCTGCACGGTGAAACATTGTTTCAGGATATATAGACAGAGTAGCCCCTTGAATACGGTGGTAACCTCCTGTACTTCAACTTACCGTTACGAAATACCTCGTTGGCCATAATCACTGCATTAGGTGAGCTTACCTCAGTTTTCTTAATCTTGGTTTTTTTTTGTTGATTAAGGTACTGGTAATATTTCTCTGTTAAAGTGAAGAACATTTATTTCAAATACTTAATAATATCTGGGTTTTAACGTTCCGAAACTGTGATTTGATAATGTGGGATGCAGCAGTGGATGGGCTCTGGAATTTTTGACCGTCTGGTCTTCCTTCACGTGCACGAACATTGTGCACCGGCCTCTGTTATTTCATCTGTACCAAAATGCTTCTTTCGCTTCTGGGACCGATTCCTTCAATTCAGAATCGGAGCACCATAACCATTGATCTAGCGTTCCAGACAATATATATATATATATATATATATATATATATATATATATATATATATATATATATATATATATATATATATATATATATATATATATATATATATATATATATATATATATATATATGTATATATATATATATATGTATATATATATAATTTTTGAGGAATTACTGGGTTCTATTGCAATTAGTTTCATGATTCGAATAGTTCCCAAGTCGTATTCGGCGTGGTTTCATCGCTATTCGATTCGTGTTTGATTCGGTTCGAAAATTCAGTATTCGCATGTTCTTTCTTTCTAACTTTATAAGGTAACGTCATGACAGCCACCATGTCCTTCCCGTAAGCGGTGCCTGTTCCGCGACTCGAACCGTCTTCCCGCCCAACGCACCTGTACATCTGGTGTGAATTTCAGCTTGTTACCGAAACGAGCTCATTGAACTTCTTCCGACTGCGTCTCCTATAGCTCGTTTGTAATTTTGAACACGCGAACATTCCGAAGGACGCAATGAACCACTTGAAACGAGGCGCGCCGTGCTCCCATTGGCGGTGAGCGCATTGCTCCGGGCCCTATCGACTTCCAGCTGTGCTCGCTCTTCCGCTCGTCCGAGCGCGACTTGCGCGGCGCCGAACGCACTCGCACCGTTGCGCTCATTCGTGGCGCAGAAGACGGCGCAGGATGAACGCTTGCATCCGAGAAGCGGGCGGCTCGCTCCGGCGTACTTCGTTCGCGAAGCCGCCAGGATTAAGGGCTACGCTATGGCTCAGTGACGTCTCGTCGTTGAAAGCTTCGCCGTAGACCGCTGCAGAGGCAAAATTTTGCAGTATTTCTGATTACGCGAAGTGCGGACAAAAAAAAAAAACTTTTTTTCGCGAAGATAGCGACGAAATCATCGTGATACGTCGGGAAATGTTACATTTGGAGAGTGCGAACTGTTCCGAGGTACTCGCAAAAATGTGGATTGACGATGTAAGTGCCGCCGCAAGTGTGCACCGTGCTTGTGAGTGAACGTGACGTACCGCGCGTGAAGAACTGACGCATCCGTAAGTATGCGATAATTACTTTCATCATCTGAACATTTCTTTTCTATACGGAGTGAAAATATTTTGAAGAAGGCCGCTGCTCCAGGTCAGCCTAACAAGAACTTCGGAGCGTGAAGTATGCTTCGTGCTGAATAGATGAGTGTGCGCATTCTCTTTGGAATTGAATGGAGTGCTCCCAGAAGCAAACCATATAAATGAAAACAACTTGGAGCACTGAAGAATGATCACGGACCTCCCTACAACGCTCTGCTCGTTTACGCTGTGTTCATACAAGGACAATTAACAGCTAATAAATGTGCCGGCAAATGAGCTGGGCTTTGGCTGAGAAAGCTGATACCGCAAGTACCGCTTTCAATTACGACTGCTTTTGACGAGGCACCCGCTACCATGGTATCGAACGACACGCTTTCCAAGCTCATCTCCATGCCTATTTTCTCCGAGCTCAACGACACTTCGTTGACAATGGCGTTGGACGCCAGTGCCGCGACGCCAGCGCTTCCAGAAGAGTTGACGTTCACGCGCAAGTCGCTGATTCAGGTGATCGTTTACGTGGTGTTGTTCATGGCCGCAGCAGCCGGAAACGTGCCTGTATTCTTGAGTCTGCTCGGCAAACGAGCCCGCAAGTCTCGCATCAAGCTGATGATGATGCATCTGGCGGTGGCTGACCTGATCGTCACCTTCGTCATGATTCCGCTAGAGGTGGCCTGGCGCCTCACGGTGTGCTGGGTGGCTGGAAACGCCATGTGCAAGATCATGCAGGTTAGTGCCGGTGAACAACGTCGAGCTATACACTCTTAGAAAAAAGATTGACATATTCCCTAACAAAGTACTAGCCCTTACTTGTCACAGAATCCACTAACCAGCTAGCTAGTAAATGCAGCTAGCAAAAGTAAGACTAGTGAATAGCACTACCTCGTTGGTCTTGTAACCAGCAATAGCCCAAATACTAAAAGGCTGGATAAAAGCACTACGTCATTGGGTAGTTCAAATTATTAGTAAGTGAATAGGGCTGACTCTATTGGTTAGTTCGTTACTAAATTGTTAGTAACCCGCGCAAATCGATGTTTACGCCTATTTTGTTAAATGTTCGTGTGCGTGGCCATATCAATATGGTTTTATTACAAAAGTATAGGATAAAAAAACAAATTGACATGGCCTTCGTAAATTAATAATGGCTCTTAATTACGCCATGTAACTTACTGGGGTAAGTGCGCAGCACAACTACATACTTATAGAGAATTGACGGCACTATTATACGATCAAATCAGATTCAAATATGTGTGATCATATGCGAATCTCATATGCTCATGTGAGTCCATATGAGCATATGATTCTCATACTCACATGAATATGTGCTCATAGGAGTATGAGAACTCATATGAGCGGATCACGAGCACACGCATGCACAAATGCATGCACAAGTGTGTTTAGAAAAAGTTGTTAACGATTTAGAGTACTTGGTAATCTACTATGGCAGAGCAAAAAGCCGTCCCGTACGCCTGTACCCAATGAAAATCTGGACTGAATTGCACAAGTAAATCTTAAAGACTTGAACGTAGCGGAATCCTGCTATAGCAGCATTTTGAAGACTATGTATACCCCTGCTTTGGGACTGCACCCCACGTACTGGTTAGCAGTCTCAGAATTTATAAGAAAATTGTTGTTTTCTATGCATTATCATGTCCCCTTCTATTTACTTACGTGTGTGTCATTACGTAGCACGAAACTTCTTTATAAGGTAGTAAATAAAATTAGAGCTTGCCTGAATTTTGCTTGCGATGCCACTATTACGGCAAAATGTACTGCGGCATCTACGACCGATCTGGCAACGTAGGTGGCTTAGTAGTTGCTTAGTTAAAAACACTAAGAAAAGTTCCCTGGTTAGTAACGGCTAAAATTACTAGCTGTACTAGCTGGTAGCTAGGGAAAGTACGCCGCGAAGGTAGTAAAATGCTCCGGAAACTAGTAAACATACGCATTTACTAAGTGATTACTTACTTTTTTTCTAAGAGTCTACGACTGAAAGAAGGAATTACCGTTGAGTAGATCTCCACTAAATCGGAGCTGTTGAAACAAAGCGAAGTAAATGGACAAAAGGCACGCGAACACAACTTAGTTTGAACCGCGTTACATCATTTGCTCTGTATATTTCTCCGTAGTAGCGCATGTTATAAAAAATGCGGAGAATAAGAGTATGTTGAATGTTATAACATCAGCGTTGCTACAATTGTTTTTTTTTCGTTGACGCTACTTTTCAATATCTAGCTGATTAATCCACACAATTCATCAACTGCTTGTTTGACGCCATTATGTCGAATACCACATGCTGCTGCAATCTCATTTTGTCGTTGGTGTCAGTTAACAGAATTTTTCATAATCGGAAGACTTGGGAGGAATTACCGCTTAAATGTTTCAGAGGTTAGGTTGTCTCAATGCGTGCTCTCGTCACTGAAGTGTGGCGATCATATTGTTCATTTTATTCTTACTGATCGTACGCATCTCAAGTGGCATTATATTCCAGCAGTCTTCCGAGGTTATGTATCTTGCAACTGCCGTGACTTTAATTATGGTATAGTTCACATTTTGTCAATTGAGCTTAGATGCACTTAAAAAAAACTCCATTATCTCTAATTTAGTTCTGAACACTCAGCAACTGCCAATCAATCAATCAATCAAGCAATCAATCAATCAATCAATCAATAAATCAATAAATCAATTGTTCTGCAGTTGTGTGTGCGTCTCGGGTCTGGTTCGAGCGTGGGCGTCAAGCAGTAGTCATATATTAATGGCGTACTTTAATGTGCCGCAAGTAGGTACCTTGCGTCTGTATTTCCGGTCTTGAGCGCGCGTTTCGAAAGTCTAGAGAGCGAAAAAGCGCGCTCTAGACCTGCCGTGACCTTACATTCGCAGGCACTCAACCAACATCTCTCTTTACTTTCTGTACGCAGATTCTTCGCGCGTTCGGTCCGTACCTGTCCTCCATGGTGCTAGTGTGCATCAGCGCTGACCGGTACTTCGCCGTGCTGCATCCGCTGCGGGTGCATGACGCCCGCAGGCGAGGAAAGTTTATGCTGGCCGCGGCGTGGTACATCAGCCTCGCTTGCAGTTTGCCGCAGGTGATAGCCAAAACCATTTTTCTTTCTTGTACCACGTGTTAGATCTGCAAAAAAAAAAAAAAGTGCGGCGCTGCTCAGTATACGGCTGGACTGTATGTGTGATATATGATACGTGTGATATTGTATGGTACATCACAATCGTAATATTCGATTTTAATGGAAAAAGAACATGAAAAATGTGCAAGATGGTTGCTTTGACTTGCAATATTCTTTCATAAGAAGCATATGTGTGAGAGAAAATATGAAAAATGCCGTTCTTTTGATTGATTTGTGGGGTTTAACGTCCCAAAACCACCATATGATTATGAGAGACGCCGTAGTGGAGGGCTACGGAAATTTCGGCCACTTGGGGTTTTTTAACGTGCACCCAAATCTGAGCACATGGGCAAATGCCGTTCTTTTGTAGGTCTTGGTGTTGTTATAAATTCTGCACTTAACTGGGCCCAGCAACGCCTCTTCCGCATGGTCAGAAAACACTGCAGATTGGTAGACAAGGCTCCAGGAAACATACGAGCCAAACATTGCAGCACAGCACGCCACCTGAAATTTAAGACAAATGAACAAAGTCCACTAGAAATCACTGCCTCTTCTCTCTGAAAATCACTGCCTCTTCTCTAGGAGAAATTACAGTGGCAGTTGATTCGTGAGGCAATAAGCTCTTATAAAGAAGCCATTTGATGTTTACTTGTTAAGTAGTTGAGTGCCCTTTCAGTGAAGCTCAACTGTCATGACAACTGAGGAAGTTTGCACGGGCGAACCAGTTTTTTTTTGTTTAGGCAATCGCGTGCTTGCCGAGGTGGTGGCGCCCTCTTATGCGTGGCGCGGGTATCAGTCAAATCTTTAAGAAGCATTTTCATACATCACTGCGATTTATTTTGGTTATTTTTCTAGTTTATGTTATTCTAGATTTCGTGAGAATATATTACACTGGTTCAAGTGTTGTTGGCCTTGCTTTGGGCCCGTATCGATCACTGCGGGACTGTACGACATGACAAAGTGGACGGATGAAAAGGCGGGCTCCTAAAGTGCTACACGGCCTTAAAGTAACACAATTTTCTTTTGATAGTTCTTATCCCCTGTGTTGCTGCACAAGCATGTTGTACAGTTAACTTAAAGGTATTTAGACTATGTGCACGGAAACACGGAAAAAAATTACGCCATCTTTTGCTAACGAAAACCAAGCATACGTTGATGGTGGTGGTAGTGGTTAGAAGAGGACAGTGCATCTAATTTCTGTAGCCCGGCAGCAAGCATGGCGCAGTGTCTGTTGTGTTGACGCTGGCGCTCATTGCGGCGTTGCACAGGAGAAAAACTTGGCGAGGGGCAAGGCACGCAGTGATGGTTTCCTACTGGAACATGCCAGTCACTGCTAATGGGCAACGAGAGACAGAATACTTCGATTGGACACAGAGACCCACAGTGCACAGTTCGTTCAATTTTCAATGTTCAATGATGCACAGAAGAAATCTCTGATCGCCACTGCCTTGGAGGTCAAGATCCAGTGCCTATATATACAGAGTGGCCAGTGAATGGTTGTGCAACGTGAGAAGCCGGTTTTTTTCAACGAAAAAACACGCTAGCAGACACTGCCCGCGTCAGGGTTGCGAGGCGAGAAAGGGGGAGTTGACGCGCATGCGGAATGGGGGTGTAAACACTGCGGGGAGGAATGCCAGAGGACAGAGTGAGCGCAGGCTAGCAAACGCTGCCTTCGTTGCGAGGCGAGAGAGGGGTAAGAAAAGGAGATTAGAGAGTGAGGAACAGAGGACGTGCATGCGCAGTGGGGGTATAAACGCCGCGGGGAGGGATGTCTAGAGAAGACAGAAGGGAAGCGAGCGTGGGTTAGCATACACTGCCTCCGTCGGCGTTGCGAAGCGAGAGAGGGGAGGCGGAGCATAGGAGAGAAGGGAGAGGGGGACGCGCATGCGCAGGAACTGTGGTCACGCCGCACACCGGCGGATTGAACCTCACTCTAAGATGCTTCGCATTTATAAAGTCGCATGTACTAATATTAGAACCTGAGCAACTACGCAATGTTTCTTCTGGTGCTTTTGTGCGGCCGTTCCTTCCCAAAATATGAGCCAACTAGCGCAAGATAAAGCGTCTCGCGGAATTTTTTCATTCAGTGCCGTGTTATCCCACGCTGCAGTGTTTCCGCCAGTACTCCGATCGGAGCTATTGATTCAAAAGTGGGCACGTACACGAAGTATACGCATCACCAGCTTCAAAAGCCAACGCCATATTACGGCACCGCCTGCTACCACTGCCCAGCGCACATGTGAAGAACAATGGTATATGAGACGTCAACTACGGCCCCTTCGCGAAAGCGCGAGCAGACCAGCTGACGCGTATCAAGCCGAGCGAACGCTGGAACGATCGAGATATCGAGGCGTGTTGCAATTTCACGAAACGCGTCCACGATGTGACATAGTTCTCGTCTTCTCCCGAGCGGCCACTGCACTGTGAACGGGGAGTCGTATTGATAATCGAAGTATCTCGAGTCTGGGTTGGAAACGAATGGAAGCCGGCGTAGGTGTAACAGAAATGGTTTATATATATATATATATATATATATATGTAGTGTTCCTACTTAAAATAACGGAACAGCATTAAAGCTTCAGTATGGAACTGGCGTCCATCTTAATCTGCTTTATTTTTCACTTCATCCTCCTCTTCTTTCCTGCCCCGGCCCTCGCGCTTCTTCATCTTCTGTCCAAAGGCTCATACCGCTTCACCCTTCCCGCTTTCTTTTAATTACCCCTCCTGGGGTAATACTTGAAGACATTCCCAATTGAAGCACATTCAACAGATCCACGTTCACCAGTGTACCAGACAGTCTTCAAAATTCCGTTCTGGGTGGCTGTCTTGGTCACAGAGTAAGGCCCATAAAATTTGGCACTGGAATCTCTTATTCCTTTTCTCACTAGTACGAGGTCGGTGACTTGAATGTCTGGCATGTCTGCTCGATGCCTCTTGTCGAAATTCTTTTTCATTCGTTTTCGGTACCTCTCCTCCTGTGATTTTTGTTGCCTCTCCTCGACAATCTTGAGGTTTTCCAAGAGTCCCAACTCACGGTCTGCCTGCAGAATAGGGGTCTCTCCTGTAGAAGCGTACTGTGGACTGCACCCCAAGCCACTTGTGTAGGATCGGTTATGATGTTTTACGGCTGCTTCTAAAGAACATTTCCATCCCCCAGGAAAACTATCGTACATCTTGATGTATTGTTTCACGTCCCGTATGGCACGTTCTGCAAGCCCATTCGCCGCAGGATGGTATGGCGCACAGAACTTGATCGATACATTGTGATCTCGAGCCCATCTTACTAGCTTTTCACTCTTGAACGCGGGGCCGTTATCGCATACGATTGTCCGCGTAGTTCTAAACATGTCCCTTTCGAGAAGGGTTATGACGCTATTTGCATCTTCTTTTCCTGCTCGTGCCGCGACCATCCTGGTGCATTCATCTATGGCCAGCAGAAAAGCTTGCGTTTTTCTGACTCCTTCCCGTTTCTTGTTAAGTTCGGCGAAATCCAGGTGAACTACTTCAAAAGGCACGTTCGAGTGGCAAGGTAGTATCATGGTGTCCGTAGGCTGTTTATACTTGACTTTGTGTACTTGACACACATGGCATGAACGAACGTACTGACTAACGTCTTTCTTCATGTGAGGCCACGTAAACCTCTTGACCAACTTGTTGTAGGTACGCCAAAAGCCGTCGTGTCCTCCAGATTCTGGGCTATCGTGGTACAAGTAAAGCACTTTGGAAACAAGAGTTGGTGGGACTTGATACCGACCTTCCGTAAAAACCAGTTGTTCTGAGCCTTCCCACAGCTTCACTTCATTGATTTCTTCAGATTTTTCTGTGTTGTTTTGTACCATCAATCTTGATAGAGCATCTGCATCGGTTAAAAGCGGTCCTGGTCGGTGCGAGATGGTAAAGTCAAATTGCTGCAAGTAATTCACCCATCTGGCGATACGCCCTTTAGTTTGGGTCATATTCAAGAGATGAGTGAGTGCCTGGTGATCGGTGAACAAAGTGAACTTCGTACCTTCCAGGTACGTGCGGAAGTAGTCAACGGCCTTCAGAACCGCCAGTGCTTCTTTTTCCGTAGTAGTGTAGTTTGTTTCAGACGGCTTGAAAGTGTAACTGTAGTAACCGACTACGTGTCGCTTTTCTCGGCCAGATGCTTCAATACATTTTTGATACAACACTGCACCAGTCCCATAATGTGAGGCGTCAGTGTTCAATTCAAAGGGTAAAGTGAAATCTGGTATACGCAGAACGGGGTCAGAAGAAATTCTGTGCACCAAGTCACGGTAGACTCTCTCACATTCGTCACTCCATTTAAAGGGAACTTCTTTCTGCGTTAAGCGCGTGAGGCATCTAGTTTTGACAGCAAAGTCCTTTATGAAAGATCGGAAATGTCCTGCCAATCCCAAAAACACACGCAGTGAATGGACGTCATATGGTTTCTTCAACTGGGAGATCTTCTCGACGGACTCTTGTTTTGTGCTTTTGGTGTTCCCATCGAAGACTCTTCCAAGAAACACCACTTTTTGTTGAAAGAATACACTCTTCTTAAAATTAACCTTGAGATGTGCCAAGCTCAAGGCGTTTAACACCTGAGACAGATGGTCCTGATGCTCAGCCTCTGTTTTGGAGAAGACTATAATGTCGTCTATGTACACATTACAAAAAACACCAAGGAATGGCTTTAGGACGTCGTTCATGATCTTCTGGAACCACGCTGGCGAGTTTTTCCAACCGAAAGGGAGCCGGTTGTATTCGTAGAGATCGAATGGCGTGATAAAAGCGGTGTACATTTTTGTTTCTTCGGTTAGTGGGATCTGCCAGAAACCTTTGCATAAATCGATGCGGGAAAAATGTCGGCAACCCCCGGTCTCATCTATAATTGTGTCGATCTTCGGCATAGGAAATGGTATGAGTTCTGTCTGACGATTGAGAACCCTGTAGTCGGTGCATAATCTGAAGGTTCCGTCTTC